GTACTTATCTAAAGACATTAAGTATCATAATAGAAATCGCTTCCCATTTTTTTAACTCTGACCAAATGAGGATGAGACAGAAGGCGATACCTTTACAAATATGTACTTATATGAGTGTCAGAAATACCAAGAGGTTTAAAAAAATTTTGCGATATATAGTAAACTTTTAATACATTCACTGAATGCCAGAAAAAAAAAAAAAAAAAAACCGACAAGGCATTAAAACAAAACAAAAAAACAAAAAAAAATCTTTTGCATAAAATTTAGTACTACAGTCAAAAGTCGTTAATCCGGACTCGTCGGGACTTCGGCGATTCCGGATTATCGATTTTTCCGGATTATAAATCATAAGTTTAAATCTCGTAAGATGGCATGCAGAAATTCTAAAATTAAAAGTATGAAACCGTAATTTATGAAATAAAGAACAATTATGTTCTAAAGGGTATCAAAATTTGCAAAAAGAAAAAGCTTAATATTTATTTGTTTACTTTATTAAACATTTCTTTCAATGTAAGTTGTTTAAGTTTTGCTTCGTTTCATGTGATAATACTTTCTCTTTAATTCTATTAAACAGACATAATTTCTTGTTCAGTTACAAAGTTCCGCTGTTCAAGTCCTATAATTGCTGTGCCGAGAATATTGACTAATTTGTCAATCGAAATTTTTTCGTTTTCAATAACCTCTGTTACTTTCTTGACGAGGAACTTGTTTTAAATCATATCAAAGACAGAGCACATCGAGATGAAATACTACATTGATAAGGAATTATAAGCCAAATAAAATAAAAACATCTGCCCTGAAGATAAGGATAGTGCTGACAGATCAACTTCCAATTCATTACGCGCCCCCCGCGACGTTCCCCCCGCTGCGCAGCGTGAAATTGATAAACAGATTTCGGATTTCAAAACATACTTTCGCTTTAGATCCTTTACATATTAACAAATATATATCGGAAATTCTATTTGATATAATCGAAAGTTTAAACTTACTTTTATAAAATTGCTCTTACAGTCTGCAAAAAATAATAAGCCGGATCCAATTGGAAAATTAAGGAACAATGCAATCATCAACATTAACTGAAATAGATAATTATTTAGCTTATACGTCCATTATACATAAAACGTGCACGCGAAAACGTATTCTGCACTTGCGCACACTCATATGCGCAGTCGTAAAAGGTCTTACGCGCACGCCTATGCGCATGTGTCAACGTGGCGCATGCGCAGAAAGTTTTTAGTTTTGAGGTCCGGATTATAGATCATTCCGAATTATGGGTGTCCGAATTAACAACTTTTGGCTGTATTTCAATTTTAAATTAAAGACCTTTTAAATATTGTGCTACTTAGTTCATGCAATTTTTAAAATAAAATACTTGATTAGAATATGAATAATATTTTAAGAAACTAAAAATAGGATGGTAAAATTGTGTAAAACGATGGTACAGTGATAAAACTATTTAAAGCAATACATGTAACTGAACCAAAATTAAACTGTTTGTTAAGCATCTTTCTCATTTATACATCTTTCCAGAACAGTCAACTGAAAGACATATTAACTATGCTTTTCTATATTTTCTCTTTCATTATATGCAGTTATCAAATGTATTATAGTCTGGGTCAGAAAGTTTTCTTTTGAAAGAAATGCAACTGAAATAAATACAATCAGATTCTTGAAAACTTAATAAATATAATTAAAATATGCAGTTTGAATGAATAGATAGAAAATTCAAAACAATTATTTGAAGAAACCACACAACTCAAACAAAATAAAATTCTAAAAAGGGAAAAAAAATATCTTTAAAAAAAAACTACAGTCAAAAGTAGTTAATTCGGACACCCATAATCTGGAATGATCTATAATCCGGACCTCAAAGCTGCAAACTTTCTGCGCATGCGTCTCTTTGACGCATGCGTGTAAGACCTTTACTGCTGCGAATTTGTGTGTGCGCGTGCGCAAAATACGTTTACGAATGCGCGTTTAATGTATAAAGGACGGGATAAGCTAAGCTAAAATTATATAATTATCTATTTCAGTTAATGTTGCAGATTGCGTTGTTCCTTAATCTTCGAATTGGATCCGGCTTATTATTTTTTGCAGACTGTTAGAGCAATTTTATAAAAGTAAGCTTGAACTTTCGATTACTTCAAATAGAATTTCCGATATATATTTACTATTATGTAAAGGATATACAAAGCGAAAGCATCTTTCAGAGTCCATTAAACAAAAAGTGGAACTGCTGCAAAAAATGGATAAAGGCATATCCTTTGCTTATCTAAACTTTAACGTTTGTTTATCTAAATTTTATTTATCTTTATCGCTGTGGAGCGCAATGAATTGGAAGTTGATCTGTCAACACTATCCTTATCTTAAGGGCAGATGTTTTTATTTTATTTGGCTTATAATTGCTTACTAAAAGTGGTATTTCCTCTCGATGTACTCCGTCTTTGATATGATTTAAATCAAATGCCTCATCATTATAATTTGCTTCCAATAGCGAAGAAAGTAACAGAGGTTATTGAAAACGAAAAAATTTCGATTGACAAATTAGTCGGTATTCTCGACACAGCAATTATAGGACTTGAACAGCGGAACTTTGTAACTGAACAAGAAATTATGTCTGTTTATGGAATTAAAGAGACAGTATTATCACATAAAAACGAAGCAACTTAAACAACTTACATTGAAAGAAATGTTTAATAAAGTAAACAAATAAATATTAAGCTTTTTTTTTGTAAATTTTGATACCCTTTAGATCATAATTGTTCTTTATTTCATAAATTATGGTTTCATATTTTTAATTTTATAATTTCTGCGTGCCATTTTGCCAGATTTAAACTGATGATCTATAATACGGAAAAATCGATAATCCGGAATCGCCGAAGTCCCGACGAGTCCGGATTAACGACTTTTGACTGTATAATTAAAAAATATTATGTGACTGTATGAAGAAAATTATTTTAAAGAATGAATGATGCACTTTTTTCCTGCTCCTGCTCACTTAAAGTAAAGGAAAATAGGATTCTATAAATTATGAATTTTTAAAGTGAATTAATCTTGGCATAAACTGAAAATAGTGGACGAAGATAAATTTTTGAATTTCTTGGTAAGTTTCTCACCAAATTTTACAAAATTTAATATTTAGGCATAATTTGAGTCATAGAATCAAAATATGGAGGGGGGGCAGCATGTCATCTCAGAAAAATTCGATTTTGTGCCAAACGTCACACTTTCAAGACACATGAAAAACACAATTGGCCCAGTAAAATGAGAGACATAGAACTGTCCCTTTTTTTTCTCTCTCTTTTTGCAGAATAATTGTATGTACACACACAATGCACATTGAGCTTCCCCCACCCCGAAAAAAAAAAGAGAAGGGGGACGGTTCTGTATCTCCTGTTTTACTGGGCCGATTAACAAAATTCAAATTTCGTTTTTCATGTTTTGAAAGCACGACTTAGGATTGTAATCAGCCAATAGATGGCATTGTAGAAAAGCTGCAGATAGAGGGTGCATGATGCTAATCGAGAATCAGAGAATTTAGAGAAAGTGAGCGAGGTGACTGATATTCCTAAACTACATGTAAATATTTAGGGTAGTAATAAAAGAATTTATAAAATGTTATAGTCTGCCTGCAGAATAAAAGGTAAATACAATACTAATCCTCCTGATGATCTTCTGACAGAATATGTATTAAATTTATATACACCATTGTTCTAATATAAGCATTTTGATACAAAATCGGACTTTATCTGATATTTTTCATGTTTTGAAAGCACGACTTAGGATTGTAATCAGCCAATAGATGGCATTGTAGAAAAGCTGCAGATAGAGGGTGCTTGATGCTAATCGAGAATCAGAGAATTTAGAGAAAGTGAGCGAGGTGACTGATATTCCTAAACTACATGTAAATATTTAGGGTAGTAATAAAAGAATTTATAAAACGTTATAGAGTCTGCCTGCAGAATAAAAGGTAAACACAATACTAACCCTCCTGATGATCTTCTGACAGAATATGTATTAAATTTATATACAGCATTGTTCTAATATAAGTATTTTGATACAAAATCGGACTTTATCTGATATGAAATGCCAATTTTTTTTCCATATTTCAATTCTATGACTCAAATTATTAAAATTTTGCAAATTTTGGTGCGAAATTTACGGAGAAAATCAAAAATTTATTTTGGTGCACTTTTTTTTTTTTTTTTTTTTAGTTTGCGCTAATAATAATTCACTTGGCGAACTTCTTAATATATATCAACCTATTTTCCTTTCCCTTTTTACATTGTGCACAAGCAGAAAGTCACATCGTTCCTACTTTCAAATAGTTTTAACAAAGTACTTAAATCACATTTGATGTTATTATTGCTTTCAACAAATATGCCAAATTTCGAAATGCGCCAATATATAAATTCACATATATCTTTCGAAATTTTGATTAAAAAAATATAATAAGGAACTACAATAAGGAAAACTACTTTTCTATTACTCTATTATTTCTTTAACCAATAAAAAATACTTTTCTACTTCCTAGCCTCTTATCTGAAAATTAACAAAGGTGATCCCCTAAATGCATAGTTAGTTTCAAACAAGCAGTAGTTCTCTTTACAATGCCAGATGAGAGAGAGTTGGAAGTGCATTCCCATTTCCCGTCTTTTAACGTAAAATCTTTCCATACTTTACTGCCATTTAAAGGTTAACTGAATTCTTTTAAAGAATACAAGAAAGAAACTGGTAGATATGTATGAAGTTTATCGTATTAAACATGTAAAATAAAAAAATACAGAAAATTGAATGAGAACATACTTTTATAATGAATTCTGCTATTAAGTCTAAGAAAATTTAACATATTAAAAACTTTAGTACTATATCTTTTCTACTTGTCATTTGATTTGCTATGCATAAAAAGAAACACATATTTTTAAAAAGAGATTATTTTAGTAATTTTATACAATTAATAAGAGTAAATAGCTTTAAAAAAACAATACCACAAAACATACCATTTCTTCTGTGTTAATGAAATTATGCAAATACAGTGGAATAAGCCATCCATTCTTTTTACACCAAACATCATACATTTGAATACTAAATAGCCAATTTGGGCCTGAACCAACATATCGCAATAAATATGCACAAAATAATATTACAGCCAACAGTACTGGTGTTAACCTGTAATATAAATGAAAACTTCTTTTAGTAATCTACTTATCTCAAACTTTATATTTAAATAACAAATGTAAATTATTCATAAACCAAATTCTAGATAATGCAATATTATGACCATAATTTAAAATATTTCTTTTAGGCTTTCTAGAAAGTAATCCAATGATTCAAATGTCATATTTTGCAGGAATATCAAGATATTTAAAAGATAATCATCCAGATTAAAAGAACTCATAATTGTTCAGATTTTAATCTATTTTGATGGAATAATGTATACATAGAAAGAGGGAATTCTCAAGTTTCATGCAGTTGGTGACAGATAGTGTTAACACTCTTCCTTTTCCCATCACATTAGTGTTTGTCTAGATGGCAACTGAGCAAAAGAAATTGTTTTGTATTTTGGAATTTGATAGTGTCTTATAGTGAATTTCCATTTTACATACATACATATGTAAATACATAAACATTTTTCATGCTCATCATTTATAGCTCTTGACTTCCCTGTGAAAAATTCAAGTTGGGAGTCCAAAAAATTAATCTTACACTATATATCACATTATAATTTTTCAAAAGTTTATTAACAAGTTCTTTATAATTTGCTGCTACTCAGCCACCTAAGAATTCATCACCATGTATTAAAAAAAACTTTTCAGGCCTTAGATTAAAATTATTCACTGAAATGTAAAAATATTGGATGAAACATAAGACTCTAGTTTTCTTTACAACTGCTGGAGAACTTGATTTTCAGAAAATGAAATTCCTCTTTTATTCTATCCATTATTTTCAAAACTAAAGTGTTTTAACATTTCTTGAATTTAATAAGTTGATATAAAAAGGATGATAAAAACTTTTTTAGGGTCACACTCTTTAAGACTGAAGATATATTCAAAAGCTATATTTTTTCCATTTTTTTTTTAGACAGACCTTTTTAATACAATAGTTCTCTTTGTCCTAACCATCACACTCTGAGGTAAAAGCATTTTTTGTATAACCTGTGGTCCAAAGAGTAAAGGTATCACTTTCACGCGTTTACAGACATGTCATTAATTTTTTATAATTTATGTCCTTTAGCAGCAATCTATCATTTTCCTGCAATTTTTTCATTATCTGCAGCAAGAGCAAATTGTATAAATAAACAAGTCATTTCAATTGTGAAATAGGACTGCTTAGACTGAGGGGTCTACGAATACATTACATTCTTCAGGAAGCTACTGATGTCCTAAAACTTCAAGTAATGAATTTACACCATTATGATGCACGAGATCATTCTTTTAAAAAAATAAGTTTTTAATTTTGCGCTGCATTTAATAAAAGGTACACACTTCTCTTTTCTTCTTTCAATCTATGTTCCTGTGCCACAAACTGACATTTTGATAAGTCACAGTTAAGTAAAAATAAAAAATAAAAGTGAAAACATAAGACAATTTGCACAATATAAACATTGTAATATTTGTACTAGATAAACATTGAAATAACAAGTGATATTATTGTAAAATTAAACTCTACAAACCTAACATTCTTAGATTAAAATGCTTCCCACATTAATCAAATGATTCTCTTGCAACATATTTATATTAACTAGAGTCCAAACAAAATTATTTTATTTTTTCTTGATATAACAGATAACACTTAGAAAAAGAACACATACCATGAATATCTGGGTTGAAAAACACAATTAAATTGGTACCTGGCATAGAGGAATGAATAATTCTGTTTTAAAAATTACAAATTCAGCAAGCAAAAGAATTCTAACTTGATAATAAAAAAAGTTCCATAACAAAGTTATAGTTGATTAATGTCGGAAGCATTTTAATCTAAGAATGTTAGGTTAGAAGAGTTTAATTTTACAGTAATATCATTTGTTATTACAATGTTTATATAGTACAAATATTACAATGTTTATATAGTGCAAATTGTCTTATGTTTTCACTTTTATTTTTGCTTTTTACTTAACTGTGATTTAATCAATGTAATAACTTTTTAATACTTTTCACACACACGCCCACTGGAATTGCTATTATTACAGTCTTTGGGCTGATGTTTTATCCATCAAGTAATTTACATTTTACCTTAAAAAATATTCCCTTGTTTTTCAGTCAATGTACCAATATTATGGTAAATATGTTGCAAGTTAAGTTTTTATTTAAATGATGTAAACGTCAAACTGAAAATATATTACAAACTTCTTCCAAGAGGTCATGAAAAATGCCTGAGAAACCTGATATATATGGTGCAGTTTGTAACTTATTGGGAATGGAAGTACAATAAACAGCATAGCTCAAAAGTAATAAATCTACAATAGATAAATCATGTAGTATACTTTAGCGATGCAATTTGGAACCAGGTTTTCTCTCTCACATATCATTTTTAAATAGCACATCATAAGCCCTTCAAGTTTCTCATGATTCTACGCGAGAACGCTTTAAACACAAAATACACTAGTATGTGAAACTTAAAGCAACAAATCCATTTTCCTACACACAACCATGAAAATCATTGAAAAAAGCTTTTTGCAATCAGTACAATGAAAAGCCAACTCAGCAGAAAGGTGATGTTTATGTAAATATCAGCATCATGATGTCAGATGGTATGTCAGGACATGTAAAATTTAAGGAGTCAGCATGTGCAGTGCAAGCAAGCTTAAAAAGAAGAAAAGGTATATTTCCAGGCATTCTTCTGCAAATGAAAATGAGATTGTACGTGCAGTAAGAAAATATCAGGCTCTCTTTACACGTGGTAGAATGAGTGGCAAGCTTAAGGTGGGATGCAGTTTGACATCTGTCACCCTACAATTTGGAGCTGATAAAAGCACTGTTTCACAAGTTTGGAAAGCTTTACAAATTATAGTTACAGCTATAAGAAAGGTTGGTGGTGGTGGACCAAGGAAAAATTGGTGACTGATGACCGATAGGTGTCTCAGTTTACTGTGGCCAGAGGACTTCATAAAAATGGCTTATTCACCTGATGTCCTGAATGCCTCATGCCATTGACAGCAGCCCATCGATGGCACTGTTTACAGTGATGTAGAGAACACAAAGACTGGACACCTCATCAATGAAGTCACATCCTCTTCATCAATGAGAGTCATTTCAGTCTGACGATCAATTATCGGCATCAGCAAATATGGAAAGATCAGGCCTTTCATCCAACTAACATCAGGGAAACAGACTGTTGAGGTGGTCCTGGTGTGCTTGTATGGGAAGGCATTATGATAAACAGATGGATGAAGCTCCACATTTTCAACAGAGGTTCATTTAACAGGAAGTTACTCTTCCTCGAGTATGTCTATTCCAGGGTGCCATTGGTCCTGACTTTGTTTTTGTGGATGAAAATGCATGACAGGACTCATGTTGTTGAGGAGATTTTGGAAAGTGAAGATATCCACAGAATGCATTGGCCAGCATGCTCCCCTGATTAAAATTCCATTGAAAACATGTGCAGAAACTTAAGGGAGATGCCTGGTGACATGATCTTATGTGCCAGACAACATTAAAGAACTGAAACAAATGCTCCCTGTTACATAATCTGGTGTTGAGAATTGACAGGCAGCACAACACAACCATTGCAGTTAAGGGAAGTCATATCCCTTACTAAGGCATTTTGGTCTGTTGTTCTTCCTCTTGGCCAGACAGTTTTTGTACTAACACCATTCTTTCAACAAAGCCTTTTTCTGTTTGTTCCGTATCAGATGCAGCCTATTCATTTTTTATACTATAATATCATCATCCTTTAAGTATTGTATTGTGCCTCTATAGTACGAACTTCATGTCTCCAAGTTGATATTTTGTGGAATTACAGCCCAAATCAGAAAAATTGCTTATGCGTTGCATACTAGTATACTTTAGTTATTATCAACTGACACAATCAAATCCTAATTTAACATACGTTAAGGAATTACTGAAAATTATCATAAAGTCAAGATTACAATTAAGTTGAAAAAATATCTTAACTCATTTTTAGACTTGATATATATAAAATGCTAAAAGTTGTTGTTTGCACTTATTAATTATGCATCTGTATTTTATTTTAAGTACACAGAAAAAATATTACATAAAAAAACTTAAGGCTAATTTTCATTTGATTTATGTCTTTTGAACTAGACCAAACAAAACAAGTGTTAAATCAAAATTGGATTATATTTTTTGAATTATCTGTAAAACTTATCTTGATAGCAGTGTTATTCAATTTCTGAAATGCCATAAAAGAAGAAAGTGGAAATTATAATTTATTTACTGTGTCAAGCAGTAAATCATTTTATTTCATAGCATACCAAAAAAGGGATATTTAAATACAGTAAATAAAAATAGCATCTGTAATGAGTATTACCTTCAAAATCAAAAAGAGTAAATATTTAAAAATTAATATAGATGTAAAAAATTACCTGAAGTATCGATGCAAATAAAAATATAGAAAATTTAGGTTGCCTCCAAGTTTATCCATCAGCTTTAACGATACATAAGCTACAAGAAGACCACTAAAAAATTTAAAAAATTTTAATTTTTAATTTTAAATTTTTAAAAATTAAAAATTTTAAAAAATAATTAAAATTTTAAATATAATTTAATTATTATTTAAAATTTAAAAGACATAAACATACAATAAATAACTTTGTTACTATATGAGTAGAATAAAAACAAAATATAAGCACTTATAATATTGAACCTAAAATTTGAAATTACATACATATTAAGATATTGATATCCAAATATAGAGAGGGAAAAACTTTAGAATAACAGAATTTACTATAAATATATACAGGTCACGTCTATGAAAATTTATTTCTTGGTATTAAGACATTTAAAATTTTTACCAAATTAAACAGCTTGGACTTCAATGAGTATTCAGGCTTCCTAATACCTAGATTTTTTACAGATTCCCAAAAGATGATTTTACAACTTAGAAAATAAATTTTAGTTACATATCTATGAAATATATATATTTCATAATTTATCTTCCAAGTCCTCGATCAATTTTATCTCTGAATGCTTTCAGCAATCCTTCATTAATTTGGATCATGTTGATCCAGATTTCTTATGATGTAACAAATTTCAATATGTTTTTAATCACTCTGCAACTAATAATTTAGATACTGGTCACGAATGAATTGTATTGATCAGGACATCACCTATGCCGTTAAATGTCTTTATAAGAAAAAGATTGTGAATAACTTTTTTAGGAGCAACCACTTATGTAGTGAATAAAAGAAGTTAGTAAAAGCTACAGAACTGAAAAACATACAAATTAACATCAATAAATTTCAATTTTACAGTTGTTGTAAAGTATAAAACATCAGTTCTGGATAATTCTTGCAAATTATTTTTCATAAATGAAAGTCTAAAATAACTGGGCTAGAGATGCACAATGTTCATAAAGTACTGAGTCAGAGCGGTGGAAAAGTGTCTCTAGAAGATGCTGCAATTTGGTCAAAGAAGGGGGGGGGAAGGTTATCAAGGGTATCAAATTATGAATGAAGCGAAATTGCATGTTACAAGGTCCGGCTATTAATATCCAGGACTCATGGAATAACTCATAAAAAAAAAGGTTAAACACATAGCCATTTAATATGATTCAAAGTAATCCCCATCAGCCATAATGCATGTCTATGCTCGGCTGCACAAATTTCAGAAAGAAGTTTTAAAGTCCTCTTTTGGAATGCTCTTTAATAGTGACGTTACAGTTTTCTTGATGGCTTCGACATCCTGTAATCTTATTTCCTTCATCGAATTTTTCAGCTTAGGAAACAGGAAAAAGTCTGCGGGTGCAAGTTCTGGAGAGTATGGTGGATGCTGCATTTCAATGACACCATGCTGGGCTAAGAATCGCCTCACAGGCAACACAATGTGTGGGTGGGCATTGTCATGTAGCAGCAGCCAACTCTCATTTTGTTGAAAATGGGGCCTCACTCTACGAATTCGGTTTCAAAGTTGGTCAAGAACTTCTGTGTAAAACTGTCCATTGATAGTCATGTTAGGAAGAAGAAATTCATGACGAATGAGTCCATCGCAATCGAAGAAAGTGATTAACATGACCTTGATTTTGGACTTTTCAAATCGAAATTTTTTCTGCCTTGGTGAACTTGGAGACCACCATTCAGAGCTTTGATGCTTTGTTTCAGGGTCATATTGATAACACCAAGACTCGTCTCCCGTGGCTATCCTATCTAGGAAAGCAGTGTCAGCATCAGCATTGTCGATAAGTTCGCCACATGCGTGCAGTCTCAATTGCTTTTGTTTGTCCCTTAAATGGTGAGGAACGAATCTTGCGTTTGCCTAGGTCTTGCATCAAAATTCGCCGAACCGTCTCTTTGTCCAGGTTGAATTCATTGGCGAGTACTCGAATAGTCAATCCACGATCACATTTCACCATATCGCGAACTTTTTCAATTGCTTCCGACGTCCGTACGGACTGCGGCTGACCTGTGTGTGGATCATCTTCGACACTTTTGCGCCCATCCCGAAAGTGTTTAAACCATTCAAAAGTTCTTGAGTGGGATAATGCTTCCTCACCGTAAACTTGTTTTAACATTTCGTAGGTTTCTGCAGCTGTCTTGTCTTGTCTAATTTGAAGCAAAATTTAATGTTAATTTTTTGCTCCATTTTCACTTCGACAACAGGAATTTAAGAGCTACGTTTTAATGTGCCTTTGCATGAGAACCACTTACTTCAGAATGGCACCGATTGCACTGCACATGCGCAAGAAAACGCTCTTCAATATGCAATCATTAGCGCCATCTTCCGACTTTTCTTTTCCTACAGTTACATCAGTCCTGGAAAGTAATAGGCGGACCTTGTAGAATAGTGGCAACTGACACCAGGTCTGGCAAAGATGAAAATGATGAAAAAGTGCAAGAAAATATGAAGGGGAAAAAAAGAATCTCAAAGAAAAATGTAATTATTTAAAATGTGAGGCTAATAAAAAATCAGAATTTATCAGTATGTTATGACTATTTAAAGCATATTCACAATTCAATAATAGAAGAAATGGACACTTAGTAACTAAAAAAAAAGATCATAAATTACTCCCAACTATTTTAACACGCAACTGACAAGCCAGGAATATGATTCAAAGTAAATTTGTCTTAAACCATGTCGAACTGTCTGCAAATTACAAATTTTTATTATTAATATTTTAATGCCATTATAATAAAAACATACTTTCTAAAACAATAAAATCATCCAGATTATGAAGTTTTGCTATTTTTTTTTAAACTTTTGTAGTTTTTAATACCTTTTAACATATATTTTAAGCTCTTTTATTTCTCTTAAATCTTCTTTTTGTCTTAAATTTGGACAGCTATGATACCCATTTAATTTGGATTAACAGGGTTCAGTTGTAACTTTTAGAGATTTGACAAAATCAGCATTTACTTTTTAAATCAAAACTGTAATAAAATAACATCAATGTGCAATCATATACAACATTCCAATAATATTCTACATATATACAAATAATGCTACATTTTCTGCATATCACAATAAGCTTTCAGAATTTTCAATATCTTTTGTCATGTTTTTATGTTATTTCATTTAATCTAGACTAGTGGTTTCTAATCTGTGCTCCATGAAACCCTAAGGGTTCAGTGCACTTCACAGGGACTATTTGGCTATTCCAGGAAAATAAATAAAAAGTAAATGAAATTGCAGAAAAAGAAATAAAGAATAGAATCAAACAGAAATTTAAAAATTATATTTAAATTGGAAATCTGCCAAGCTGGATTTTGTGTCTCCTCGAGCAGACGATTCATGGCCATTACTTAGAACTGAACATTCGAGAAGCTTCTCACTCATTTTTGATCCTTTGAAATTCCTTTTCATCTGCTCAAAGCTTCTTGAATTCTAGCCCCACATAAATGCCAGTGGCTTGTCGATTGGGAGTTAGTTAACAGTAAAAGTTCATAGTGATATCATGATTCCTTAGCAAATCTTCCACAAATTTTCTGTGTTTTGATTTCCTTATGAATTAAGTTGTATAACTAGTATATGTTTATTAATAAAGGTGATAGTGAAAATAATAAATATAATCGTGACCTTTTAAAAACAGACGCGAAAATAATAAATACGATCATGACCTTTTAAAGACAGACTATATACAAATGTGTGAAGAATATGGGAAGCCACTATGAATACCTCTTGTTGCACAGTGGAGTAAGATGATCCTCTCAAGACACTGACATGTACACAGAAAGGCAACCAGTTGCATTAAAATATCAGTGGCATTAATTTTTTATCTGATGTCTTAATTTATGCCCACAGTGCCCTATAATTACATCATTAAAAAATTAAATTGTAACTCACTTCTATAACGAGCAATAAAAATTTCAAATAACAAGTATTGAGTGAATATGTGCTTGAATTTAATTCCAGGTAATGATTAACTCATTAAAAACCAAATTGATTGTAATAAGTTTGATGAGGCTCTCAAGAATAATGTAAAATATGAGGTAATACAAATTGGTATGTTTCATTGAACTTTGGAAGAACCTTTAACCACTTCACGATGGCATGTTGCTGAACTAAAAACCCTTGGCAGATGGATATGTTATATATGCATCATCACAAATGTTTCTAGCAGCCGGGTGATGCACTGGTGCATTGCTGCTTGCATTGATCTTCCAGACAAGTGTTGCATATATGCATTCTCAAACATACACATTCTTTTAGAATTTTTTTAAATCACTACATGGCACTCTGTGTCCACCACAGTTAGCTTATTTGAACATATGCATTGTTGACCTTGTGTCTGTGAAATATTTTCTGATTATGGCAATTCGTTTAGATCAGTGATGGTGAACCAAATGCACGCGTGCAACAGTCAGCACACAGAGCCTCATCAGCCGTCATGCACCTAATATTACTTTCTTAATCAATAATCACAATAAAATGATACTATCCCATACAGCACTCTGAGTTGCTATGCAATTGCAGTGACCTCTCAATGTTGCATTTTCTTAACATTAAATTTGTGCCCCCTGTTCAACGTCGTAGAAATGTCGCATTGTGATGTGGATGTCGTACGGATGTCACATACATGTCACAGCAAACGTTTAATGTGACGACAAGAATTTTGCAGTCTTCCCCACCCTGACCTTTCTTGACCTTGCTCACATAATTCTTCTTTAATGGGAGGTATTCTTGCATGCTGACCTACCCTCCAATTCATTGCTATGTGTTTCAGTAAACCTTTCTAAATAAATTATTATGCTAATAGCTTGCAGTTTTAATTATTTCTTTTTTATTAAAAATATTAACAGTTTTTATTGATGTGGTACTTCAAAATCATTGAACTATATTCTGTGGTGAATGAATTCACATTCTACCATATCTAGTGTTATTAAGAGAGATTGACGAAAGAGTTTGTTGTCCATATAGCGTTTGTTTGTCTTAAGGATCTTTGTGACCATTTTTTTTAGTTCTGTTCGCCGAACACATCGTCTGTGCTACATTTTCAGGTAAGCACTGTTTATTGTATATTGGT